CCCCCCCCGCCCCCTTTTTGTTTGTTTGTTTGTTTTAAGCCAGTAATTGAGAACCTCAGATCACCTGGTAATGTGGGATGAGTTGTAAAACAACTCCTCTCCCAAACCAGCCAGAATTTTCTACCTTCCCCCTCAGACCAGATTATAAACTTAGAAAACCTGGAAGTAGCCATGTGCCGACTGTATAGACAGAAGCATGGATTTGGGAAAACCTCCCTCCTGGAATTTAAATTTTTTAGCAAAGGTGAGCTCAAGGCCCAACTCCATATTATTCCTTTCCCAAATAACCTGTTCTGGCTCAATTTTCCTATGAAATGTGGCCTCCTGCTCTTTGAAAGCCTCTGGGCTCATAATATGTTTGCAGCTGCAGCATCAGGATGTGTTTGAGACCTGGAGAGCAGCCCCTTCCCTGTGAGCACAGAAACACTTCAGCAGCTTCAGACAAGCCCAGGAGCTGCTCTGCTTCATCCCAGGTATCATTAACAAACCTCAGGCAGCTCAGAGCATCCTCAAGGCCAACTTTGAGTAGAAAACATTCCTCTCTCCCAGCAGAAATCTCATCGAGCAACATTTTCTGCTTCATGCTCCCTGGCTCCTTTAGGACAACACTACTTGCTGTCACGTTTCCACCCAGCCTTGTGCAGCATTTTAAGGAATTTAACTATGCTTCAGACTTTTTTTTACCCTCTGATCTTGCTGGAAATGCCTCTGTGGCTGTCCCTGATAGTTTTTAAGCACTCATGGCCCAAGCTGATGAGGGGACACAACACAAAGGAAGAGCTAAGATGCAAAGGCACAAGTACAGCTCAAGAGGAACAGGAGCAGCACTGAACCATCTCCTCATCACTGCTACACTCAAATTAATTCCTGATTACGGTTCAGAAAATGGCATTTTATACTTAAGTCAGCTGATTAATTTTATATTCCCATTATTCCCACTGCTTTCAACCACTCTGGGATGCCACCAGTTGTCTTCTCATGCATCTGGACTGGCAGCACTCAGAGCAGGGCTGAGGTCTTGGAAGAATTATACATAAAGAGCCTTCTTCCATTCATTTCAGCATCACCAGGATTCACCTCCAGCCCTGCACTAAAATATAAATCAGTGCTGACAAAGTTTAATTGAAACTGCTTCTCCCTGGGCCCAGGTTCAAGCCATTTTTCATTGCTCATTTGCTCTACAAACAAACTTGCAAAAAACAGCAGGTTTTCTGGCATAGAAAACATTCCTGGTTATGTCCTACTTCACTGCTTACCTGTTCTCCCAATTTTATCTCAGTGTCCAAATTTTATCAATTTATATCAATGTCTCCAAATTTTATCTCAATGTCCTGCTAACAAAGGAGCATTTTCTTTTTCTTTTGAGATTTTTCAGCTAAAAATTTTTTGTGGAACCTCAGAGGAAGCAGCTGTGCTGCAGCTCTACAGCTAAAACAGGCCTGATATTTAGTATTAGCAATTTTGAATAGATAATTAATGAAGTGAATGCAGAAACACAATCTTCGTTTCTAGCTGGTTTCAGTGCATTTCCAATTTAGATGAACAAGGCCATATACTGCTAACAAAAAAAAGTGAGTTAACAAAGGTTATAAAAGCCCTGAAATTACCTTTATAACACCTTCCCCAGGCCTCATATCCGTATAGATCTTGACACTGTAGGAAATGTTGGAGAAGGTCGGGGTGTTATCATTTGCATCAATCACCACGATGTTGACAGTCACTGGGACACTCTCCTGGACTCCATCAGAAGCTGTCATCTTCAGAGGGATAAAAAAAGCAGGACAGGAATGCATTTTAGTGGTGTGTTCTCAATACAATTCCAAGAGAAATACTATTTCAACAGGAAAAAATACAGCCTGTCAATCCCAAATCAGCATTTTGTTTCTCTCTGCATTTACAGTTACAGGAGGATTCAGCAGAGCTTGATCTGCATGTGCAAGACTCAGGGCAAAAGCAAAGCAAACACATTCAAACCTTTTCATTGCAGAAGTGAGAGGAAATAACTTGGAATTTTCCTGGGATGGGGCTGGGATAGAAGCTGTTGAGTTCATGGAGTTTTACCTGGGTATCACCACACCCAAGAGCCCTGTTAAACCTCCCTGATATTTTGAGGTGAGAATTACGGAGCTGGGGGCTCTTCTTATTCCACAGAGGAAATCTGAACTCTTCTTTCCAACGAAAATGGACAGAAAATAGGGAGGCACAGAGTGGGAACCCCTGCAGAAGAGCTGGGTTTGCCAACAGCCCATTTCCAAATTGCTGTAGGGCTGTTCAGTGGTTCACTCACAGCCTGAGGGAATATTAAATCCATTTAAGCTTTTTTCTCCTTTTTTTTTTTTTTTTTTTTTAATACTGCTATCTGTGCTTTCTCTCAGCCTATTACTTATTTTTTTTTTTATTTATTTATTTGAGAAAGAAATAAAGCAAAAATCCCAGGACAAGGCTCATGTTCCTGGTTCCAGGTGTAAGGGGGAAAAGGCAATGAGAAAAGCAAGCCCAGGAATAAAAAAGAGGGCTCAGATCCTGCCATGGGATGAGAAGCAGGTGCCAGACCTGGGACTATGGAGAAGATGCTGGCAGAATTTAAAATGCTGCTCTCAACCAATTCATCCTTCATGGCTCTCCTCCTCCTGGGCCATTTTAAGATTTCTAAGGATGCTGAAGTTGATCCTTTCCCATCACATGCTCCCAGCAGTGCCTGGAGAGTTTTCCAAGGGTATTTAACTTACAGAGAATGTGTAGAGCTGCTGGACCTCCCTGTCCACAGGCTGCAGCAGGGTGAGGTAGCGGGTGATGCCACTCTGAGTCACAGTGAAAAACGTGGTGTAGTCGTTCAGGAAGAGATGGACCTGCGGATCCTTGGTCTTTCAACAACATCAAGGGGGAAAAAGAGCATTTTATTACAAATTCAGAGGTACATTAAGTCTCCAATTACTTGCTGCAAGTGATTTTTTTAGTTGAAACCTAAAAGCACAAATGCTGTAACAAAATCTTTAAAACTGTTAAAAAAAAAAAAGGTAAAAAACCTCACTGCTGGCCTAAAAAACTAATCTTCTTGATGAAAAACACATTAAAAAACCACTAGAGTGAAAAAATCCAATTGTAAACAAATACCCGTATTGGTTTTAAATAAGTGCCTTTTTCCCCCATTAAACACTAATTTTTAAGCCAGACACAACTTAATATAAGAAACCACATTCAAGCATTTATCTTCATATTAAAACTGGAATGAAGCTGGACTTGATTAACATAGCAATAAACCAGCTGGGTTGGTGCACTGAACAAAGAGAATGGGGAAGTGTTTCAGGAAACAGAGGCAGCTCAGGCGGTCGCTTTAGGTGTCAGAAAGAATCCAAATGTATTGATGCAGAATTAGGAACCTCTCAGTTGATGGGGGGGAACATCATAAATTAGCTGAAAAGTAGCATTTTAAGGTAAAGAAAGGAAAAAGGCTTTGTGAATTTACTCATTGCTTCTTGAGGACATGGGTCACTCCTGATTTCCACCTCTTTTGAGGTGTTTTTGAGTTGTTTAACTGATCAGATCCTATGAGTTAAATTTTCAAACAAACTACATTTCTTTTTTTTTTGCCCACAGTACTCCAACAACTTTCTGTGTCCTTGTCCATGATCTGGTTAATTTAAACTGACTTCCAGCTGCTCTCTCTCATGAATTACAGAGTTTATTTCTGTTGGTAGCTGAAAGGTTGGGAGACAAGTAATATAAAAACTGTTTTAAACTGCCCCCAGGAATGTGTAGATGAGGAACCAGAGAAGTGCTACCAGGAATGACAGAAAATCCAGGATTTTACCAGCTGCTTTCCAATGTCATTCCACAAATCCCATCCCTACAGAGGAGGACATACAGAGAACCAGATGAATAAAAGAAGAAAAGATGAATTCAGCAAAAAATTCCCAAGGGAGCATTACTTCTCTGAATACTTCCTGAATCCAAAGCTCTTCTGGAAGGGTCACTCCATTAGTGCCATTCCTGGAGGATTAAAATCCTTGGGAGCATAGGACAGGTCCCCAACCAACCCCCAGCCAACCCTGACCTGCACCAAGTGGCAGAAGGACAGAGCAGCACAACACCAGGACAAAGAGAAACTGCTTTTAATGAGCCCAAATAAACACCAAAAAGCAAAGATTACACTATTTAAATGAGAAAACATTCCAGGAAGCCATGGGAAAAAATTATCCAAGTGTTCTACACGAGTGGTTCCTCAGTGTCTAAAGCTTTGCTGCAACTGCAGCTCCCAGGAAAATGAAAATTCATTTTACGGCTAGCAATGCAAACAGTAACCTCTTAATTCCAGGAAAACTTAGGGAAGGTAATTGCCCATAATTGTTCACTTTGTAGACATTATAAAGTCAGTTAAGAATTTAATTTACAAAACCTGCAATTAGTTTTGCAGTTCTTGCTTTCATGTCCTTTTGAACACTAATAAGCAGCATTTTTTTCCCAATTTATTGCTGAGAAAAACCAATGATGGAGATCCCAAACCCTCCTGGAGTAATGTGTCCTATTCCTTTGCAATCCTTGTCTTAGAAATGTTCTCCTAATACGGAAGGTAATTGCCTTTACTGCAATTAATGCCTATTTTACCATCTCCCAGGCATGTCAGAGCCACACAGCAATTTATTCCCTTCATCTGGAAAAGCACTGTTATGCTTGGACATTATTACCAAGGATATTTGACATTATTATCAGGGATCTTGGACATTATTATCCTATTTTATGCAGCCTGAAAAGTCAGCTTGACTTAAATGAATATTTCACATGAGAGAGAACAACCCCAGCTACACTGCCAACACAATCTCCAGTAATTTATTTTTTTAAATTATTTTATTCTGGGGCATGGATTTCAGCCTTGTGATTTCTGGTGACATTACTGGGTCATGGAGACAAGGCTAGTCTCTGATAAATTGTTTAACATGGAATTTTGAGTAGAAAATTATCACAATCCACACAAAAAGAGCTCACATGCAACCTGCAAGGAGCATTTCAAGCACACAGTTCAAACCTGAGGTACTTTTTAATTTTAAAAAGCACTTTTGTAATACTCAGGATGTCTTTGAAGACTTGTAATAATTTAATGAGCATTAAGCAATCACAATTTATGCCCTAAATTGGGTTCAATGTGTTTAAAGGGCTCTTTGCAGGCTTCACAAACCAAGGAACAGTCCCAGCCTCAAACACCATCAGGGCAGGGAGAAACGAGGGAGGAAAGTAGGAAATAGAGGAAGAAATCACACAATTAAACCCAAAAAAGGTGTTTTGCACACACAACACCCAATACCTACGGGGAAGGCACCTGGTGGGACCTACAAAGGAAAACACAAAATGAACATGAGTGAGGAAACACAAACCTGGGACTGAGGGACAACACAACATTTGGGGGATTCATGGTTACAGACAAAAAAAAAAAACCAGCAAAATGAGACACACAAAATTCTGTACTCAATAATCAAAGCCTGGGCTCGAGTCTGTTCTGCTTGAAAAATCTCTGGAGAAATTCCTGCATGGATGTGGATGTTTCATTCCTGCTGCTTCTCAAATCCCACCAGGGGTTACAACTCTGACCAAAGCAAACAGTTTTCTAAAACTGATGAAGATGAAATGAAAACTTTTTGGGATAATTATGATACTGCTAAGACTGAGCAGACAAGGGTATTAATTCTCTGTGTGTTTCAACAATCCCAAAAGTTTTTGGAGAGGGTCTGTTTGGCTGTGAAGATTTCAAGGGCAGCCAGAACAAATTCCAAGAGTATCCAAACTGCTCAGAATTCCTAATTTGCAGAACAGGCCCACCCCCTGAAAGCTCAGTGATAACACTCTGATGACACAGCTGAGTTTTACAACATTTTTAAGTGGATGATGACCAGTGTTAAAATGTCAATGAAAGATTTGTTTTGTTGGAAAGGTGTTATCTGTCCTCCTTATTACTGGGTGAAAGGAGAAAATCTTTCCCACGTTCACCTGGACAATCTGAGGTACAGAGCCTTGCAGAGGGAAAGCAGGGAAGACTGTCTCCCCAACACAAGAAAGATATGGATCTGCTGGAATGAGTGTGGAGGAGGCCATGGAGGGGCTGGAGCCCCTCTGCTCTGGAGCCAGGCTGGGAAAGCTGGGGGTGCTCACCTGGAGAAGAGAAGGCTCCAGGGACACCTCAGAGCCCTTTCCAGGGCCTAAAGGGGCTCCAGGAGAGCTGGAGAGGGACTGGGGACAAGGGATGGAGGGACAGGACACAGGGAATGGCTTCCCAGTGCCAGAGGGCAGGGTCAGATGGGATATTGGGAAGGAATTGTTCCCTGGGAGAAGGCAGAAGGCAGAAACCATGAGATGCTCATCCTAAAATAATCAAGGAAGTTACAAAATGTTACAGAAGCAAATCAGTGTTAATGTTTCTGGTTTTCCTTAAGTGTAAAGATCCAAAAAAATTTAACCCCCATCTTTATATATCTTAAAGGAAGGAAAACAGCCTTTCGTCTTTGCCTTGACCTTCTATTAATTTTAATAATGATATTAATGGCTGTTTAATTCTAGGAAGGGTATTTCCTGAGTTATTGCAACTGTTGGAGTGTCACAGCAGGGCTGCTCAGGGCCAGCAGAACTTGAGAACAGTGCTTGAGAGAGCATTAACTGTAAGAGAACTTCAAACAACAACTGGGAGCTATAGAAGTAATCAGGCAAATATCAGAGAAAAATACTTTGGTATTTAAAATGCTTCAGTTCTCCTGGTTAAAAAAATTAAAAATCATTTATTTTTCCTTCTCTAGATATATTACTGAAAATTAATAACCTGCATGTGTAGCTGCATTTGAAACTTATTTTATTCATTACTTGCTCTGTCTGCTTGTGTTGCTGCCAAGACAAGGTTGTTCTTAAGTAAAATTCTCTCATATTTCCCACAGGTTCTCTGAAAAGAAAAAATCACTGAGACTCACAGAACGCCCTGAGGTGAAAGGGACCCACAGAGACCACAGAGTCCAACTCCTGGTCCTGCATGAGATAACACAGGAATGTCAAGGCCAGGTTGGATGGCTTGGAATAGTGGAAGGTGTCCCTGGCCATGGCAGGGGTGGGACTGGATGGGCTTTAAGATCCCAACTCATTCCATGATCGATACTTCGTGCAGCTTTATCACTAACCCTACCCACTGGATAAATTAATTCTCTCCCATGGAAATCAAAGAGGAAGTAAAGAAGAGGCTTGGGAAGTCTTATGTAAAGAACTCTCAGCTCCCTCTAAGTTCCTCATCTCAGCTTTAGTTTGCTCAGGTCTTAAGGTACTTGCATAGCTTAATTTAATTTATGCCATTTAAACAGAGCACTTAATTATATCAGCAGTTGGCAGTGCTGCTCTACTGAAAGGTCTGTTTGCAATGTCCCATCTATAAATTAATTTCTGCAAGGTTTATAGCAGGACTCTGTTATAATTCCCACAGGGTTTCAATTTAGAGTGGGTTTTGTTCTTTTTTTTCCTTAGACACACAGTTAAGTGAGCACTTTCTTCCTGCATTTACCTGAGGACATGAAGTCATTTTAATTTTTCAATTAGCAGGCAGAATTCATTATGATTAACCAGGGTTACCAGTGGGAACTTGGATGCACCAGCACAGAGGGGGTTTATCTCAGTGTCTCATCAGAAACCCTTAAATAGATATATTCCTAAATACATGAATTTACTGAGGTACAGAGAAACATCAGGACACTGAGACCTGCAGAAGTTAATGACCAATTACTCTGCTGATAATCCCACCCTGAGCCCCCATCCAGCCCTGTGAGGAGCAATTTTAGGTTTGGGCCATTTTATATGGGAACTCTGTGCAATTGCTGTACTCCCAGCTGGAATTCTGGGAATTCTCCTGCCCACACCAGGTTAGAAGCACTCTGTGAATACCTGGCACGTGGATTGAAACACAGGCACTTCAATACGGTTTTCTCTCACGTCCATGTTACTACTGCATCATTCCACAGCTTTGGAAATGGCTGTGCATGAGCCAGGTGATGCCAAAGGAACAGGAACCTGGAATCTTTCCACCCAAGGAGGAGGCTGATCCCCTCTGGCTACAGGCTGTGTGTCAGAGAATGCCAGAATGGTTTGGGTTAGAAGTACCTTAGAGCCCGTCCCATTCCACCCCCTGCCATGGGCAGGGACTCCTTCCACTATCCCAGGCTGCTCCAAACCCCATCCAGCCTGACCATGGACACTTCCAGGAATGGAGAATCCAAAAAACTCTGTGTTATATTTATAAACCTGATCCTTGCCCACCTTGACTATTCCTATCTAAAGCAGCATCTGAGATCCCATTAATCTGATCAACCAAGAAACTGCTTTGCTTTAAACAGAACTGAACCTGAGGGTTTCCCAAGCAATCCAGATCTTCAGTAACTCCTGCTGATTCCCGCCCTGTGCCCTCATTCTGTATCTTCCACTCAGCTCCCACAAAAGCCAGATCCAACCTAATTTTCCATCTGCCTTCCAACCTTTGATTTCTAACAATGCCCATAAATTGATGGTGAAACTAATGGATAGAGATCTTCTGCAGGAATTTGGGATTTAAAATGATAAATCACTCTATACGTTGTGATGTTTTACTGACAACAGGCTCTTGTACTCCTTAAAAAGCATCAATTTGCCTAAAGTGAAGCCTTGAAATGGTTTTCAGACTCTCAGGTTAAGAACTTTATTCGAGAGATCCTATAACTAATTCCTACAAAACCTAAGCCTGCAGCTTGGCTTTCCTTCTGCAGCTAAAGGAACCAAAAAGATCAAGGGAGACAACTGGAGGCACAATGGAAATTAGAGGGAAAAGAAGTATTGGCTAAAAAGTCCATAATGACCTTGATGAGAACAGAAAAAAGGTTAGAGGTGTTGCACTGTTACTACTTGGTTACTATTCCTCTGGAAATGCCTAACTTCCACTCTGAATAACATTACATCAAAATCTGGCAGAGCAAAGAATGCCATGAACTTTCAGCCTCTTGCTGTTCCTCCTTTCCCTCTTTTTGGTTCAGATGAGGAATTCCTTTCCCTCTGAGCTCCCCTCTCCCATTTCCATGGTGTGGGGCACGCTCATCCCTGTCACAAAATGCATTTTGATTTCTCTGTGCACTGGGCATTCACCATCTTGAACAGAACAGAGTCTTCCAGAGAGGTGAGAAAAACACAGATCAGAAAAAAATCCACTTCCAAATCTATCAGAACTCAGAACAAAAACAAGGAGAAAATAATAATGAAATTGCGAATTTTTATTTTTAAAAAAAAAAAAAAAAAAAAAAAAAAAGGAACAAAGAACCCCCAAAATAACAAAACTGCAACTACTCTAAAAGAGCAAACTGTACCTCTTCCACGTCGTTGTCCAGCACCACGACCTGCAGGGGGGAGGTCAGGTTCCGGTTATCTGAGATGGTCGTTCCCACTGGAGAGGATTCCAGGATGAAGCCCTCATAGGTAGACCTTGTGAAATAAGGCTTCTGGTTGTTCTCATCCAGGATCTCGATGTGGAGATTGGCAAAGGCAGGGAGAGGATGGCCATTGTCTTGTTCAGCCTAAAAAATCACCTCATTTGTCAAAGGTTCCCTGTTCTGATCAGGGACTGGGGATGTTTCTACGTAAGAGTCAGAATCCATTTTAAAAATGGATTTTTTTTCTCCTATCCCTGTATCATGGAACTTAACATTATGAAAAAGAGAAATACCAACTAAAAATTAGCTAGGAGAAAAGAACAGGAACACATTCTTCCATCACAGTCACATTTACATAGCCACAAGACACCCAGAACTTGTGCAATCACAACTCCTTAAACTCTCTTGAGACTTTTTAAACTCTCTTGAGACTTTTGGAAAAAGCTCTGAGGGATGAAAGAAAACTGGGAATGCTGATTGTACAGCAGAATCCACAGCAACAGCAAGGAAGTTAAACCCAAAAGGTAGAAACAGCACACGTGGACACATTTGCTTCCTCTTCTCCCAAATCTAACTCTTCAGGGTTACATGAGTGGGATTTTAATTTGGATTTTGCCTATTTTTGAATCCCAGGCTGGTTTGGATTGGAAAGCCTATCCCATTTCACCCCCTGCCATGGGCAGGGACTCCTTCCACCACCCCAGGCTGCTCCAAGCCCCAGTGTCCAGCCTGGCCTTGGGCACTTCCAAGGATCCAGGGGCAGCCACAGCTGCTCTGGGCACCTTGTCCCCAGGGAAGTTGTGCATGCGTGTCCAACAAAATTCTTTGCTTCCATGAATAACCCCCACATCTCAATGGAAGCTCTCCACCACCCAACAGTCACTCCCTGATATTTTTCACCTGATTTTTTTCTTATTCTCAAACTTCCTAAAGATAAAAGCACTAATTTCCCATTCCAGGGTGCTAATCCGATGAAAACCTATGATCCTGCTTTCTTTTCCCATAACTTCCCAACCAACAACTAGTTTGAGCAAAGACACAAGGGAATTAGGAGACAAAAAGTAATTTGGTCTCCAGTTTATAAAAAGCAAAACAGGTTTAATTACAGTCCTGCACAGTACACTGCAGCAAGACAACAGTAGGGCATTGCAAGAGTTTTCTGTTCCCATAGACAAAATTTGTATTCCCAAAATCCAGATGCACACAAACCCTGGTTCACAACAGAGAGAAAAGGACCTAAATTCCTGTTGTTAACAGGACTTTCTGTTTGCAGAGGTTTTACTTATAATCTCCTATTTTCCTCATTTCAAACAGATAATTCCTCATTTTTCAAATCAAGAGTCCAAGGAACGTTGGTCTGAAAACACCTCTTTGACTTCATTAAAGGTTTAATTTATTTTTTATTTAAACACCTTTTCTTGATCTGAAAAATGTTAATTGTCTTTGTTTATAAACCAGCAATAGTATCTTGGTAATGATAAAAACCTCTATTAAAAAAAAGTATTAAAAACTTCTATTTCAAATAAAAAGAAATATAAATATAAAAAAATGTTATTTTCTTCAAAGGAGGTGATGGCACCTTAAGTAATCCATAAAAAACTCATTCTCAGTTTTTAGGAAAAAATGGATTATTTCTCTAAATTGGATTGGATTACTCTTACTCTTGAACAACAGAAAAAAATGCCCCAGGCTCCAGTCCAGTTGATGTTCCACTGAATGAAAACAAACTTCATGCATCAAACTCAACATCACTAAAATTACCTGGCAGGGCTCTGGCTACTCACCCAGGAGAGTGAAACTCCAAAAATGTCCTGAGATGGAATTTTTGTGCAAGTTAAAATACTGAAAGCATGAGAGAAAATCCCAGAACAGTCTACTCCTCAAGCAATACATGCAGCTGGGATTTTATTTCATAAGCAGATGTATCATGGAATCAGAGAATCCTGGAATCTTTTAGGCTGGAAAGACTTCCAGGATCACGGAGTCCAAGCTGTGCCCAATCCCCACCTTGTCCCCAGCCCAGAGCACTGAGTGCCACGTCCAGCCCTTCCCTGGACACCTCCAGGCATGGGGACTCCAAAGCTCCCTGGGCAGCCCCTGCCAAGGCCTGAGCTCCCTTGCCATGGAGAAATTCCTCCTGGTGTCCAAGCTGAGCCTCCCCTGGCGCAGCTTGAGGCCGTTTCCCCTTGTCCTGTCCCTGTTCCCTGGCAGCAGAGCCCGACCCCCCCGGCTGTCCCCTCCTGTCAGGGAGTTGTGCAGAGCCAGAAGGTTCCCCTGAGCCTCCTTTGCTCCAGGCTGAGCCCCTTTCCCAGCTCCCTCAGCTGCTCCTGGGGCTCCAGCCCCTTCCCCAGCTCCGTTCCCTGCCCTGGACACGCTCCAGCCCCTCCAGGGCTCTCCTGAAGTGCTCCTCCCCACGGGACTAACAATGGTTGTCCATCATTAAAAACTCTTTTCTTCTGCTCTTCCAAGTAAAATCGGTCCCTTCAGAGCCCAAAGTCTCCATACAACCCCTGCAAGTTACTTTATAACAGCCCTTAATGTTCCTTACTATAAAGAGATCGTAAAAAAAGAAAAATGCAAACAACAGAGGATCTCAATCTTCCGAACAGCTTGAAACACCACAATAATGGCCTTGCTTTAATGTCTAAGTAGGCCTGGAAGTCATTCTGGGATAAAAGGAGGAATATTTACCCAGGAAGGTGTTGCAGGGTTTGCTGAAGTGCTGGGAATTACACATGGCCAAACACAAAGAGAGTCGTTTGCTCTCAGAATTGGACTTCAAATTTGAAACTCTGGAGCCCAAAGTGACAAAGCAAAGGAGTCCTTCCTCACTGAGCACTTCCACTCAAAATCACTTCAGCTTTTCTTCATGTTCACCAGTCAAAATTATGGATTTATTTCATTTTTTTTTCCAAAGACACCTCTACTTAAAGAAAAGAAGAGATCTTTGCAAACAGCCACTTATTTTTGCCTTTTGTTTGAAACAAGGAATTTCATATTACAATGCATGGAAATTATTTGCTTTCAGGTGTTCTGTGAAATCAGTCCTAGAAGCAACACTTGACTATGAGCAGAGTTCAAAACAAACCCTTCATAATGCTCTAAAAATATAAAAAGCTGTAACGTTGGCAATTTTTGCTCCTGTGTCCTATTTCCTGGGGTTTTTCTTTGTGTGGGGGTTTGGGGTGTTTTATTGTTCTTCTATTTTATGGTGGTTTGGGGGTGGTTTTTTCTTGTTATTTTTGGTTTTGTTGTATTTCTTTTTTTTTAAAAGATGAAGTCATACCTCATGAGAGTTGTTCCAGACATTGAGTGCTATTAGTGCAAACCCTTTTCCCTCACATTGCCCTTTTAAAAACTTGCCTGGCCTTGATGGCCACAGGTTGAGCTTTTTTGTTTCCTAAACAGCGAACAGTTTACACTTTCTTCATCCAGAAAGCCACCCCTATCTAAGCTACAAAACATTTAGGTTTCAGTCCTTCAAAGAAAATGTTTTAGTGTGAAAATAATGAGGGATCTCTCAAATAACCCCAAGGATGTGACCTTCACATTTTTACCAAGACACAAAAGAAGCAGTGTAGGATTAGATTCTGGTATAACTTAGTAGTTAAGAGCGGCTAAAAAAAAAAAAAAAGTGAAATGTGTTAATTCTCACAGATATTTAACTGCTTTTATTGCATCATCTGTGCTGAAGTCTGCTTGTATCTGTAGTGTCCATAATTTTATCCTGATGGAAGATGGCTGGAGATGACAGGAAAGCAGGTCCAGGAGGGATGTAAGGAGTGAGGAATGGATGGCCGTGGGAATTAACAGGACCAACAGGAACTTCACTCCTTCGGTGAAACAGCTTCCCCCAAAAATGAGAAATTAGAGCAATGCAAAAGGCTCCCCCATGGAAGCACAGAGAATCCCAAGCTGGAAAGGACCCACAGATATCACTGAGTGCAATTCCAAGCCGGAAAGATCCTTGAGTCCAGCTCCAGGCCCTCAGCGCTACCCAGAGCTGGAATTTTTTCCAGCCAGCTCCCACTATCCCCTCTCACCCCCAAAGCAGCAGGTCCTGTCCTAACATCCTAACATCTAAAAGAGAGCAAAAGGTGGTTCCCTTAGATAAAATTCAGAGCTCCCATTTCCCCATGGAATCACAGAATCCACTTCAGCAATTCTCCATCCAAAATGTCTGTCCTAAGGTGCAAGGAAAGGGAATTGTTTTATCTAAGACACATCCAAGCTGCTCCTTTTCTCCAGGACTACAGAGTTTCTGAAGTGTAAAACAGGCTAATTAGGAATAAATTTTTAAAAAACACCGAATGGGGAGTTTGCCTTCATGCCAGATCTTTTGGTTGATAAAAATGGGAAGGTCCATCCCTAGAAGCAGAGAAAAACACAACCCCCCACTCCCAAAAACCCCAAACAAAACAAGACAAAACAAAAAACATAATATTATAATAATAAAATATTATTATAATAATAACAACCAAATATTATTATATTAATATATATAAATAATAACCAAACCAATATTATAATAATAAAATAAACAAAGAAACAAATAAAAAACCCAAAAAAGTTCCTCCCCTCCAATCCCAACAGGAAGATGAGCAAGTGGAGCTGAGGGGAGGGTGGTGGATGAGGATAAATGTGAACTTCACACATCCTAAAAAAATTGGGATGTCAGGATTTATTCCTGGTGAGGGGCTACACACAAATCCGTGTGGAAGAGTAGCAGGGGAAGCTGCAAATTGAGGTCCAAGAAGATCTCAGACTTAAGGAAAGCAAAATTAGGTGTCAGTGTGTGGAACCAGATGGGCTTTAATGTCCCTTCCAAGCCAAACCATCCTGGGATTCTGTGATCTATTATTTAAATGGATGTGATTAAAATCGGGAGCAGCCACCAGGGAGAGAAGGAAGGAAGGAAGGGCAGGGTGACAAAGTGGCTCCTTTGAACGGGAGATCACTCAGGATAACTGAAGAGGGAGGGCAGGGAGAAAAAAGGGACAGCATTTAGCTGGATTTAGGCTAAACTTTAGGATTGGGGAATAATTCCCAAGGTCAGCATGTATAGCACACAGAAAGAAGCACTGAACTGGATTAAAACTTGGCTTAAGGACAAGGAACACAGAATATCTTTAGAGCACAGAAGG